CAGGGCTCCTTTGGCAGGAAGAGGCACAAAAACCGTAAGAATTCCCCCCAAAACAGCCGGGCGAGAGGTAAAGAAAGGGGTGGTTTCTTTGGCAAAGCGTGAGGGGAGCCCCATGTCCCGGATGGGGGTGGCCAGAACGCCCCACAGGGCACCCACGGGTACCTGCAGCAAGTCAAAGGTGACGACGCCGTCCTGGTCCACGTCCATCGCTTGGAAAAACCCTGCAGGGAGGGAAATGGTGCTTTTGGGGAGGAAAACGAGGAAAAAATGGGGGATTTAAGGGGAAAAGTAATGGGATTTAATGGGGGGAAACAGGAATAGAACAAGGCAGGATTTAAGGGGGAAAATGAGAAAAACGAGGAAGGATTTAAGGGGAAAAGCTGGGAAAACCCGGCAAGACTTAAGGGGAAAAATGAGAGAAATTAGGAAGGATTTAAAGGAAAAGTTGGGAAAAAACAGGATTTAAGGGGAAAAGTCGGAAAAACAGGATTTAAGGGGACAAGTTGGAAAAAACAGGATTTAAGGGGACAAGTTGGGAAAAACAGAATTTAAAAGGAAAAGTCAGGGAAAAAATCCACTTTTCGTGCTAAAGCCTGTAAGTTTTTCTCCAACTTTTCCCGTTCAATTCCACAGAAAAGTTAAATTCTGGGAAAAGCTGGAAAAAAAAAAACACAGGAATTGAGAAAGTTGGAAAAAACCCGGCATAAAGCAGAAAAAAAGTGAGAAAAATGCACAGGATTTAAGAGGAATAGTTGGAAAAGCCTCGTTTTTTTCTGTGAAAAAGCGCAAAACCGCAGCAGGTTTTAAGGGGAAAAACTGGAAAACGGGATTTAACAGGAAAAATTGGGGATTTTCCAAATTTCTCCCCTAAATCCTGCTTGTTGTGCTTTTTCTGGCTTTTTTTTTTTTTTGTGGGGTTTTTCTGACTTTTCCGTGGAGTTGAAAGAGGAAAATAGGGAAAAATGTTGTTTGAAATCCTTTTTTTTCCCGTTTTTGCTGTGAAATTCCATGGAAAGGGGGGATTTTGGGGGGGATTTTGGGGGGGGACTCACGGAACATGGTCTCCAGGCGCACGAGGCAGCAGACGAAGTTGTCGAAGTCGATGGCCAGGTCGGGCTCCGCGTAGCGGGTGATGATCAGCTCGTGCAGCTTTTTGTTCAATTTATAACCTTTTTTAGGACCAAATTTGGTTAAAATTAAGGTTGGTGGTTAACGAATCTTGGGTTTAATTACCGGAACGGGGGCGTTACCTGCCGCTTCCAGCGCCATCCTCATCTCGTAGGCGCTCATGCTCCCCGACTTGTCCAGGTCGAACTTGCGGAAAATGCTCTGCATTTCCCCCCCAAAAATGGGGGGTCCCTCGTGGGGGAGAGAGATAGACCCCCCCCCCGCCCCAAAAT